CAATCCAAGAAGTAAAAAAGGTGAAATTCTTAAAATCTTGCACTTTCTTTTTTTGGTTCTATAATTTTTTCTTTTTTTAATGTATATTTTCAGTCAACTAATAATGAAGAAATCTACAATGAGAAGCTTTTAAAATAGTATACATCGTAAAAAAATTATAATTTTTTATAATGAATGTTTTGATTGTTTATGATATTTGTTATACATTTTGTAGTAAAATTATGAACAGCGAATTTATGATGTGCACCCTAAAATTAGGGATGATAATATTATGGCATTTTTGTAATTTTTGTTATGACAATTTGAGATTTTGTTATGACATTTTTCAGTAAAAAAAAAAAGTTATGCCTTTCGTAATAAAATAGTTAAAATATTTTATGTTTAAGTTATAAAATTTAATAAAAAACATATCATATATATCTTTTTGTTGGTGCAGATTGTAACATCTCATTTTATTTATTATTTGAAAACTCCAAGACTTCATAAAAGGTTCAAAGTACATCCACGTACACCACAACTAGGGGGTGTAAATTTGATCCGACTCGGGGCCAACCCATGTTGGATCGCGTGGGCCCTCACCAAAATTCAGGTCAAGTCAGGTTAGGTAGACTCGTGGGTCAGAAAATTAGGCCCATGAGGTGTTCGGGCCTTAGGCGATCCTCGGACCAGGCCAGCAGGCCTAGGACTGGGTTCAGGCTTGGCCAGTCCTGGGTAGGCCTAAACATATTTTTTTTATTTTTTTCACCAAAAATTTATTTTTTTCTACTAAAAATGAAACTGGGCCTCTGGGGGGCCGAATTTTGAGTGGGCCTTGAGCGAGACGATGGGCAACTCACGAGTTGGGCCAAGTAGGCCAGACCGGGCTTCAAAGTAATGGCTCAACCCAACCCAGGCCTAAGCTCTTGGACTGGGCTCGGGCCCAGGTCCACCCCGGGTCGCGAGCCATTTTTGGACCCCTAACCACAACCGCAAGTGATTTTGAATTAATAAAAGGGTTTGACTTATTTCATATTAATATTTCAATACAAGTAAATTTGAGAGGCTCGTGAAATTTATCACAGATCTCATTTTGATAATTTGAATCATTTAATATATATCATCCATAAAAAATGAAATTGATTCGATAATCGTAATATTTTCATTTTATCGTGTTTGATTCTAAAAAAAAATTAACTATTTATTTTCAAAAATGTATTTGTCATCTATTTTTTTTGAAGACAAATGTTATAAAATAAAAAAGTTACTATTATTAATCAAACTATTTTTTTATGGATAACATACATTAAGAGCCCTACAAAATGAACAATTTGGATCATCGAAACGGGAGTTATGAGCTCCTCAAGTTATCTCATGTTGAGATGTAAACCTAAGAGAAGCTCAACCCTTAATAAAAATGTTTAATAAACAATTAATGAGGGTCATTAGTCTCAGTATACTTCAAAATGTATTAAACAAATATACAAGAATATACGAAAAGTGCATTAAAATTCTAATTTTTGTATTTGATTGCTAAAAAAAAAAATGAGTTTAAAAAATATTATAAATTCAAAAAGGAACTTAATTTGAGATCATTTGAATAAAAAATGTTGGTTACTATTTGAATATTTTTTTAGTTTGATTAATTTATTTAGAAATTCACTTCCCTAACTAAAACAAATAAAACTTGACTTTTGATGAGCTGTAACCTTGCATGCAGCCATAAGTTAAGAAGCAAAGTTCCAAGGTAGATATTAATATATGATATGTACTTTACCTAAAAGAAGTACTACGTCTATATATGTGAACCATTTTGATACTTTGATGGTAGTGGTGCTACAAACATTTCAAATGAAAATGAAAATGAAAATAGAGAATTTTATGGAGCCTTTAAGCTTGTAAAGTTGTCTTCCCAAGCGCTAAATATTAGATAAATGTAATACTAGGCAATGGTATCATCCATCAATAAAAAATTTATATTATTTTAAGAGTTAAATGATTTGAGTTAGTGAAATATTTGTAATGGTTTAATTTATTGATAAAAAAATATAATTATTTTGTCAATGATATAACCTTCGGTGATCTTTTCATCTTAAATTTGCCAAAAATAAATATTTTTCATCAAATACTATTATTTTTTTGGATTAATTGATGAAAAGTCCAATTTAAAGAAAGTGTAAGGCATTAGGTCCGCTGGCTATTTTTTATTTTTATTTTTTTGTGTGTGAGAAATACATTATTTGTGAAATATTGTGGTAAGAAGTACATTTGTTATTTTTGAGAACATTTTGGTTGCGTTGAGTAAAGCTTTAGAATTATAATTTGAAAATAGAGTTATATTTTAAGTTTGTGAGTTTTAAAATTATGATTTGAGTATAGAAAATTTGTTTAGTTATGAATTTTTAAAAAATTTGAATTGAGTGATGTGACATATAATATTTAATTTAAAAATTTACAACTCATAACCAAACACACAACCCAAAATTTTATTTAAAGCTCACAAAAAAGTTTTAAGAAATTTCCAAAATATTTTTTATTAAATATAAAAATAATAGGTGCAAAAAAAAAAAGAAAAAAAAAAAGCGAACACTATTTCGGTCAACTGGCCGGACATCCGGGAGGACGTCCAAGAGGATGACTGGGTAGACCCAAAATTCAAAAATCCTCTGCTTTTCAGAATAGAAAACATGAAAGAGAGAGAATAGCCAAACATGAAAGAGAAATGCCAAACAGGAAAGAGAAATATGTTTTGAAATGTGTGATGGAATCACAATTCCAAAACTCCATCCAAACAATGCATGCAAATAGAGGGATAGAATTAAGTTTTCAAAGCTGTACCAAACACAGCCTTTGTTTTTAGTTTTCTTTTTTAGTTTTTATTAAAACCTATCAGTTGAAATTTTTATTCTATATGTTGAAATTCTATTTGTGTGAAATTCTATCGATTGAAATTCTTATCTAAATTTTTAACTGTACAAATTTTATTTGCCCAAATTTTTTCTTATATGTTCGAAACTGAGTCCCTCAACATCACAAATTCTCAAAAATGAGCAATGATTTCAAAGCAGCTAAGCAATAACGAAGGGATCAGCCAAAGCAAAGCAAAGCAAAGCAAACTAACAGTAATTCTTTCAAGAAACTAGTTTCCAAAAACACTTTTCAAAAGCAATCTCACAAAATTCCTTTATTTTTCATTGCCATAACAGTAACAAAAAATGGATGATCCAAAGCAAAGCAAAATAATCCGTTCAAGAAAGTGTTTTCGTGAAATACTTTTTTTTGAAATCAATCACAACAGTAACATTTCACATTGTTATCATGACCATGAGAGGAACAAAGCTTTTGATTCTTTCGTTCTTGGTACAGAATTTGAAGAGCTGTAGGGGTTGTTTGGGGTGTCTTAAATAAGTGCACTTTTTGTCTTTTTAGACTAAATAGTTGAGAAAAAAAAATATGGATGTTTGGGTTAACTTTTTGACTTTTTATGAAAAAATGTGTATTAAAAAATTGTATAAATTAGTGTGTAGGGAAAAATTAGGATTGGGAGTTGTGCAGCTGTAATTTTTGACTTTTGGTGAATAGTGGTAACTTTTTAACTTTTTAGTTAACTTTTTGACTTTTTCGAAGGATGCCAAACTTGGCCTTAATTGAATCTACATGTCAAAAGATCTAAACAAAAATCTATGTCTGAAGACCCTAGAATTGAAAATCAAAGCTAGCACAAAGATAACTCATCCGCTGTCACCAAATATTATGACCTTGAGAAGTGTTCTTCTACGGAAAGGCATTGTGAAAGTGAGAATTAGTTGAGAGAAGCATCCGATCTAGAAATAAAAACACCTAAACAATTAGGGTTTTGAGTACACTAGCCATCAAACTAGACGATTAGAGCGATAGTATATGAGAGAGAAATAGAGAGAGAGTTGTGAAGAGTAGATAGTTGACTGAGATTAGCTGTGAAAGAGGCGGTGTTGTACGGTAGCTATTGAGCAGAGATTGGTGGCCATGGAAAAAAAGGGAAGGAGTTGGAGTAGACAGAGTAATGGGCGGAGGGAAAGACAAAGATGAGGCGACAGAACCATTCTTAACCACACAAGTCCATAAATGTCGAAACAACTAAAAGCAACCAAAGTCTTTTTCTCTTCTACTACGACAACAATTGTGATGTGCTCAATGGGCAGACATTTTGAATAGTGACGCTAGTAGTAGGATCATCGTTAGGGACGGCAGCGATAGCGACGGTGACTAAAGCGACGAAAGAGGAAGTTTCGTCATCTTCCTCTTCAACGTTGTCTCTAAGGTGTTGTTAGGGCGAGGAATGGAGGAGGAGATGGTGAGAGTGAGGTTGTTTTCTTTGAGGTTTTGTCCACTATAGACGATGGTGCGGTCTTGATCAAAAGTCATCGAAAGAAAAAGAGAATGAGGTCAGTTGGCTCAATGTGGATTGGAGTTATAGAGAGTGGTGGGATTTTATAATTTTGTATGGAATTTATGATGTCTCACACAAAAATACACAAATAAATGAATAAATTTATTTTCAAACAAATACAATCTGTGGGTTTTATCTCTCTCCTCTCTATCTCTCAAACCTCTTATGGGTTTCTTGATTTATTGATTGATTGATTGATATCTATAACAACAACCTAACAATCTATTTATAGGTTTCTGATCCGTGTATCAACCGTGTGTGAATTTATAGCTGTGAATTTGAATTCAGTTTCTTACCTTCTAAGTTTCTAACTTAGCGAGCTTCAAAGAAGCTTTATGGGTGTTTCTTCAATCTATTCTTCCATCTTCAAGCAGCTTCTAGAAATTACTTGAAGAGTCAAGTTTATTCTCTAACATCTCTCCTTAACTTGAATCACTCCGAGCATTCTTCGTAGCTTCACAAATATGTATGCAACTTGATCTTCACTTTTCGTGTGTATCAACTGGATCTTTTCTTTTCATATGCATTCTTGTATGAAATGAAATCTTGTGTCGATATGCTTGCTTTTATCATGAAAGAGTGGATTCTTTTCTAACTAGATTGCTGACGTGTTATCTACGTATATCTCTGTGGCTTCTTGTTGTGGTTCTTGAACTTCTTTTAGCAAATTTCTTAACCGGATAGCATGACATTCTCCTGCAACAATAGCTACATACTCTACTTCACATGTTGATAGAGTTACTATTGGTTGTTTTTTTAAGGGCCACGTAAAAGCAGTATCTCTGAGACAAAACACAAGCCCGGCAGTACTTTTACGATCATCCACATTTCCTGCCCAGTCACTGTCGCGGTATCCTACTAATTTGGACTTTTTAGTAGATGAATAAAACAATTCGTACTCTATTATACCTTTCACGTATCGTAGGATTCTTTTAGTTGCTTTCAGATGTGGCATCTTGGGTTTCTCCATATACCGACTAACTAAGCCTACTGCGAACAATATATCAGGTAGCGTGGCTGTGAGATATCTTAGGCTTTGAACTAGACTTTTGAAATACGTTGGATTAACCTTATCTCCTTCATCATACTTGGACATCGTTACTTCCATCTGTCGGTGACAATTTTTCATGCCAAACGTTTTTATGATTTCTTTAGCATACTTAACTTGTGGAACAAAAATGCTTTAATTACTTTGCTTGACTTCTATGCCCAAGAAATATGTCATGAGTCTGATATTTGTCATCTCGAACTTTTGTATCACGGATGCTTTGAAATCTCAAATCATATCGAGGTTGTTGCTTGTGAATATTAGATCATCAACGTAAAGATAAACAAATAGCAAATCTCCTCCCTTGTTTGTCTTGAAGTATAGGGAATGTTCATAAGGACATTTAACAAACCCATTAGCAACAAAATACCTGTCGATTCTTGTATTTCATGCTCGTGGTGTTTGCTTCAAGTCAGAAAGTGCTTGCTTTAACTTATATACTTTATCTTGTTGGTCTGGCTTTATATAGCCTAATGACTGTTCAGCATACACTTCTTCTTCAAGATAACCATTTAAGAATGTTGATTTGACATCCATTTGGTAAATCTTCTATTTTTTCTGGGCTGCTAAAGAGATAAAAAGTTATACTATTTCTAAACATGCTACTGGAGCAAAAACTTCATCATAATCTATGCCATATTGTTTCTTGTAGCCTTTCATGACCAATCTTGCTTTGTATTTTTCAATATCTCCTTTAACATTTCTTTTTGTCTTATACACCCATTTGATACCAATTGCTTTGTGTCCTTCTGGTAAGGATGTAAGTTCCCAGGTGTTGTTCCTTTCTATGACTTGGATTTCCTCATTCAAGGTTTATCTCCATATGTTTTCCTTTGTGTTTCTTCAAAGTGAATAGGATCACTTCCAGAGAATAGACAAAACATTATTAAATCTTCATCATCTTCAAGTCTTTTTGTAACATCATATAGATCTTGAATGGTTCTAGTCTTGCCTACTATATTCTCTGTTATTAATGAAGAGCTGGCAGTTTTTTGTTGCGTACTATGTTGTGAAGTACTCATTCTTGTTCTTGTCCCCCCTGGAGGTGAATGCAGATGATTGCAGACTTCAATTTTAGTAGCTAGATCATCTTCATTATTGATTATTGAGACTAGTTCTTGACTTGGGCTCTGCCAATTCCAACCTAATGCTTCATCAAATTCAACATCTCTTGAATATAATACTTTCTTTGTGATGGGATCATAAAGCCTATATCCACTTTCTCCATAGCCGTTAAAAAAACATTTTTTGCCTTTATCTTCTAGCTTCATTCTTTTCTCATCTGAAATTTTTACATAGGCTATGCATCCAAAAATCCTCAAATGATCAGTTTTTGGCTTTCTCAAGCTCCATACTTCTTTAGGGGTCTTGTTTAGTAATCTCTTGGTTGGAAAACGATTGAGCAAATATATTGCACAAACAACAGTTTCTCCTCAGAGCTCCTTTGGCATAGCTTTTTCTTTGATCATGCAATGAACCATATTTAGGATCATTTTATTCTTTCTTTCTAAGACACCATTTTGTTGAGGTGTATATAGGATAGTATGTTGATGAATAATCCCATTTTCTTGGCAAAATGTTTCGAATTCCTTTGAGGAATACTCACCTCCATAATCAAATCTCATTATCTTAATAAAATATCCACTATGTTTTTCAACTAAGGATTTGAATGCCTTAAGTTTTTGAAAAATTTCACTTTTCTCCTTCATTATATAAATCTATGTCTTGCCAGTAAAATCATCAGTGAACGTAAGAAAGTACATGTTTCCACTAAGTGTCATGGGTTGTATTTGATCACATACATCTGTGTGGACCAACTAGAGAGGTTGGGTTGCTCAATTTATTCTTCCATCTCCAAAGCTCTTTCAGTGTTGTTTGCTAATGAGATATCTGTCGCATTTCTTTAACAGAAGCTTGATCGATGGTAACCTTGTCACCATGTTTTTCTTTGAAATAATGTTCAATCCTTAAAAGTTCAAGTGACCAAATCTAAGATGCCACAATGTATTGTCATCTACAATTTTGGCTTTATAACAATTGGATTGAATAGCATTACTAGCTTGTATAGAGGAAACATGCGATTCTTGGTCATGTCTACGTACGTAATCAATCTGTTGTGTTGATTACAGATGGATAATCCCAACTCTTTTGTTTAGATATTGTAGCCTTTCTCAAGTAACTAACCCAAACTTAGAATGTTAATCTTTAAATCTGGCACATAATAAACATTGACGATATCTTGTTGTTCTCCATTCTTTAACTTAATGTCGATAGACCCTTTCCCTTTTATGGGTTTCTTTGTTGAATCTCCAAAAGTGACTTCTCCTTGTTGACTTTTGTCGAGTGTTGTGAACAATTCTCTTTTACTGTACATATGATTGCTAGCATCAGAATCAAGGTATCATAAGCTGTTTTGATTTGCTTCACTGCAATCATTATATGTCAGTAACATAGTGAAATCTTGTTTAACTTCACCATAATTGACTTCTCTTTCTTCATTGTTGGTATATCGATACAACATTCCATAGCATAATGTCCAAATTTTTCCTTGACCTCTTTGACTGTTTGTTGTTGGTGGTCGGCGATCTTCATAATCCTATTGTTATTGTGGACATTGTTGTTGTGGATGTCTTGTACTATTGTATTAGGAATATCTTTCTCTTTCTCTTCCTTGTTGATTTGAGGTTTTCCTTCTTCCTTTTATCGAAAGCTTTGTTTGGAGTGCTTGCTCAAGGGAACTTCGTGCAGTCTTGTTATTAATTCTTTGCTCGTGAATTTCTAACGATGCTTGCAATTCATCGATTGTCAAGTTGTTAAAATCCTTTGATTCTTCAATGGCAACAATCACATGTTCAAATTTTGAACTAAATGATCTAAGTATCTTTTCAATAACCCAAATTTCTTCAATCTTGTCACCAAGTATTTTAATTTGGTTAACAATATATAGTCAAAGTTCTGGTAAAATATTTAGAAATTGACTCATTGTCCTTTATTTGCAATAATTTGAAATCTCCTCGTAAGACTTGGAGTCGAATCCTTATGGTTTTCTTAATTCTTATGTTTGCCTTTTGAAAAGTTTCCTTGTTTCTTTCGATTCGCTTGCAGTGGAGATCTTTTCAAAAGTAGTTAGACCTATGCCTTAATATATCAAATATAAGGCTTTCTTGACTTTTGTCTTTGCATCTTTAAGTGCGGTCTTTTGGGCTTCTGTCAAATTTTCTTCATTTTCTTTGGATGCTAGTTCATTATATTCATGCTCCATTGAATCCCACAAATCTTGGAATGACAGGAGTACCTTCATCTATATATTCCAATACTCATAATTGCCTTTGCTAATTTTGGAAATTGATGTTAGAAGAAGTTTTCTGTGGATCCCATCGAATAGCTTGCTTTAATCTTCAAATAGTTTTAGAATTTTCAAAATCTGACCATTCGGGTGAGTCCGAAATGGTCCAAATAGCTAGAAAACACTATTGGATAGTTGTGATTGAACTCCAGATGACTTAGATATAGCCAAAATAAATTTTACGATTTAGATCTGCTAGAAACACTGTGGGCCACAAAGCACCGGCTAATTTTTTAATTTCGTGCATCAGGTTGAAATCAGATAACGTTAATGGCTCAGTAGATGCGCAGCTTGGCTTGGCTTGGCTTGGCTCAGCTTACGCGTCAACTTGCGACTCGGTTTGGCGTGCGTGTGGCATTTGCTGACGTCAAGTAGATGACGTTCACTTTCACGCGTTGTCTTCCTCTAGAGTGCATGGGGCGCATGGCCTGAGCGTGGTTACAGCAGTGCTCGGCGCTTGGGGCACGTAAGGCCTCCTCGGTGCACGGTTTTTGATGCGGTGTTTTCCTATATGATCGTCTCGATGAGACCTTCAAGCAGGTATGATCAAAAGTTGATTTCGACAAATTTTATTTTTGGAAAATTCTGAAAATTACTCTACTCTGCCTCTGTTTTTTGCAAAAATTCATCTTCCTAGGCTCTGGTATCACTGATGATGGGCTTCTATATATTTTGAATGAAATTTATGATGTCTTACACACAAACAAATGAATAAAATTATTTTCAAACAAATACAATCTATGGATTTTATCTCTTATCTTTCTATCTCTCAAACCTCTTATAGGTTACTTGATTTATTGATTGATTGATTGAAATTTATAACAACAACCTAACAATTTATTTATAGGTTTCTAATCAGTGTATCAACCATGTGTGAATTTATAGCTGTGAATTTGAATTCAGTTTCTTACCTTCTAAGTTTCTAAGTTGGTAAGCTTCAAGGAAGCTTCATGGTTGTTTATTCAATCTCTTATTTCATCTTCAGGCAGCTTTTGGAGATTACTTGAAGAGTCAAGTTTTTTCTCTAACATTGAACACCAAACAGATCGAACAAAAAATAGAGAGGTGTATACGATATGTATATATATGGATAGTTTTATCATTTTACAGAAGTATGTCTTTATAGATTTAATAGTTTAGAGTGTAGACTTTTCGTCAAAAGAAATCTAAATTTAAATTTATGGATTAAGCATCCTATTTTATTTAGGTTCACCGAAATTATGGTATTTTAAATGGTTGATGGTTGATGGTTGATTGTGTGACATATTGTATGGGCACGTCAAGAATCAAAAAACATAAACTTAAAAAGTAATATTCTAACTTTTTTTCTTTCTTTCTTTTATAGAAAAGTTATAAATCACTTATATTAAAATAAAGTTAACATCATACATAATAATAATAATAATAATAATAATAATAATAATAATAATACACCAAGGACTAAATCATAATAAAAATTTACTGAACCCACAACATAGATGTGGTTTGAAAAATAAGATTTACATTTAAAAAAATCTCAGCATTCTTGTTGTCATCGTTGTCATCTCTACTATTGCTGCTGCCTTGTTGTAGATTGGTCACCGTGGGAAGCCAAAGTTAAACAAGACGAATGCCCATAATAGTGAAGGTGGAGAATTGAAAGAAAATGGGACCATTGTAAGTGTTAAAAATCTAAAAATATGTTAGAAATTGAAAGAGAAGCTCTCAAACCCATCTTTCAAGGCATAAAAAAAAAAAATTTATATTTATACTTTGAAAGTGTTTTTACATCTTACCAAAAGTCGCTAAAAAGTTATCGGAGAAATACTGAAAATTGCCAGAGCGAAAACCAGCGCCCTTTTCCTGGGTCTTAGCCATTCCAACTTCTTATATATTATCCATAGCAAGAAGAATAATGTGAGTGTTTGGGAAGTTACTATTTTAGTAGATTATTTTAGTTTTTGACTATTTTAATAGACTAAAAAAATTTTGTTTGAGAAGATAGTCGAATTTCTTTTAGTTAGATGTGATGTTTATGAGAGAAAAAGTATAATGATTGTGGATTTGATGTGACATTTTGTCTTATTAATTATTTTAATCTATTTTATCTTTTTGTAAATTTTAATCCAAAAAGCTAAAAAATAATCTTTGCCAAACACTCCCAATGTATCCTCCACACCATTCATGAAGTGACACCTATTTTATCATCAATTAAAAAATTGTAATCAAGATCATGTTTATTTAGGAAAAAATGCTTCATATCACTAATTCAACACCACTAATGATATGACCTTATGTGGATCCCACCACTAATGTGATAGTTTAGCCTTTGTTTTGTTTTTATTTTGTTTTTATTTTTTTATTTTTGTTTTCTTGCATTGCCAACTCACTAGAGCTGGCTTTAATACCCCATTTTAGAACACTGAATCATTTCTCTTATTTAGGTTTTGAGGAGAAGGGATTTTAAGCAAGGCATGTATTTATCCCACCCTTACATTTTAATATTATGTTTGATTTGAATTTTTAAATCATAATTGTAAATCAGTTTTAAAATACATTTTAAAAATATGTTTGGTAAAGTAAATAATTTTTGAATTTTTGATCTACCTGATCGTTCAGTTACCATGCACTCTTTTTTTTTTTTTTTTTTTTTTTTTACAATTGCCAATCACCACTTTTTATTTAGAAAAAAAAATTATATTTGCTTTTAATATTTTTTAAATATAAAAATTATTTTTTATACCAAAATAACAAATTATTTTTTGAATAGGATTTTAAAAAAGTTTGGTTATGAGTTTTGAATAGAATTTTCAATAGAGTTTTGAGTTAGGTATTTGGTTATGAGTTATAAATTTTACAATTAAGTTTTAAAAACTCTTTTCAAAACTCATAATCAAACAATTTTTCTTATTTTATATGTCATATCAAAAATTCAAAATTCAATTCAAATTTTTTTTTTCAAAATTCAAAACTAAACAAATTTTTATTTTTTAAATTATAATTTTAAAATTAACAAGTTCAAAATATAACTCTATTTCCAAATCATAATTTTAAAATTTTATCAAACACTCCTTACAATTTGCCAGTAAATGGACGACCCGAGGACCCGACCCATAATACGGCTGAGATGCCGCCTTTTCCACAAACTCATCTCCTCCTTCCTCCTCGGTTCCAAGTCCATATACTCTACACGACACCACCAGTCTTTTCTTTTAGAGAGAGAGTGTGTGTGCGTGTCTTTTTAGAGAGAGAAACAAACCCAGACTAACGTTAAGAGGTTGGTGCGGGACCAACCCTTCCATTATTTCTCTCTCTCTCTCTCTCTCAACTTGCAACAATCCACTAGTAATGAGGAATCCAAGCTGAAGCTATAGATAGGTCAACTCTCTCTAGTCTCCCTCTTTCTGTGTGTCCAGTGAAAGCTACAAAACAACAGAAAACCCATCTCTCTCTCTTTGTCTGCTTTCTTCTCTTTGCCCATACTGTAATTCAGTGTCTGGCTCACAGAATAAGAGGTGGGTTTTCTTTGTTTGTTTACCCTTTTAAAATCCATCAGCTTTTTATACAAGAAGCAAAGCTAGTTTTCTTTTCCAAAAAATATTTTTGTTTTCTTTTTGGCAACCTAGATCTGCTTTTGTTGGCTACTTTTTTTGAACTTCTTTTTAGCTGAAAACCCTAATCTTTGATTCAGAGGTCTGGCGGAATCAAGAAACCAAAGGGGTTTTTTCGTTTTGTTGGCTTGGTTCCATACCAAATGGGGATTTGCTTAAGTGCTCGTATCAAAGCTGAGAGCCCCTGTCACACAGGTACTCACAAACTTCTCACTTTCCTACTATAATCCATATATATATATATATATGATAAATACTAATATTTGCTTGATTTTGTTGTTCTGACAGTTTAATTTGTTTGGGTGCCTCTGTTTCGTTTTTCTGGCAATTTTTCTTTATTTGTATTTTTCCTATTGATTTTGAATTGTTGAGTTGGGTTTAAATTGTTGATTTTGTTGTTGTGACAATTTAATTCGTTTGGGTGTCTCTGTTTCGTTTTTCTGGCAATTTTTCTTGATATTAATTTTGAAATGTTGAGTTGGGTTTTGGTATGGTTAGATTTAAATTGTTGATTTGTTTGAGAATTGAGATATAACAAGATCAGTTGTGTGGTGATGAAGCCTTATAATGTTACTTTTCTGTTTTCTCTTAACATTTCCAGCTGAGATTCTTAACCTACACATTCATTTTTTTACAAATTTGCTAATTTTTTTATTTTTATTTATTTTTAAGTGTATAAGAGCATCTCCAATCCTTACCCTCTCTTTTGTTTTTTCCCCCATCAATTTTCAGTGAAAATTTGCTTAAATGCTTGATCTGGTATGGAACACTCCAGTCCTTAACTTTTTTATCCTAAAAACCTGCTTAACATTTTTTATGAAACAAAATCATCTCCAATCCTTTCTTTTTATCATTTCTTCAAATTTGAGTAAAAATATTACGTTAGAAATTTGGTGAAAGATTTGGTTAATCTTTAATTTGGTGAATATTTGGCCTATCCCGTGGTTTGATACTAGTTTGATGATATGTTTGGAGCTCACTTTTATCTCGTCATCCATCAAATTATTGGTGAAGGATTAGAGATGCCCTTGATAGAGGCAATTGTAATTCAAATGTCACCAAGAGAGCTGACATACATTGGTTTGTCCAGGGGTGAGTTCAAAACATGTTAGCACAGAGGGGACTGATCTAAGTGGTTCGGTCAGTAAAGGCTCGGCGGTTTCTGTGCCTCTGACTCCTCGAAGTGAGGGCGAAATCTTGCAGTCTTTTAGTGAAAATTTGCTTAAATGCTTGATCTGGTATGGAACACTCCAGTCCTTAACTTTTTTATCCTAGAAACCTGTTTAACCATTTTTTATGAAACAAAATCATCTCCAATCCTTTCTTTTTATCATTTCTTCAAATTTGAGTAAAAATATTAAGTTAGAAATTTGGTGAAAGATTTGGTTTATCTTTAATTTGGTGAATATTTGGCCTATCCCTTGGTTTGATACTAGTTTGATGATATGTTTGGAGCTCACTTTTATCTCGTCATCCATCAAATTATTGGTGAAGGATTAGAGATGCCCTTGATAGAGGCAATTGTAATTCAAATGTCACCAAGAGAGCTGACATACATTGGTTTGTCCAGGGGTGAGTTCAAAACATGTTAGCACAGAGGGGACTGATCTAAGTGGTTCGGTCAGTAAAGGCTCGGCGGTTTCTGTGCCTCCGACTCCTCGAAGTGAGGGCGAAATCTTGCAGTCTACTAATTTGAAGAGCTTTAGTTTTTCTGATCTTAAAATGGCCACAAGGAACTTCCGCCCGGATAGTGTGTTAGGAGAAGGTGGTTTTGGTTCAGTTTTCAAAGGTTGGATCGATGAGAACTCTTTTACAGCTTCAAAGCCAGGGACAGGCATAATCATTGCTGTGAAAAGGCTTAACCAAGAAGGTTTCCAAGGTCACAAGGAGTGGTTGGTGAGTTTATTTTTTTGCTGCCAATTAGAATTATATTTATTCATGTCAGCTTGTTTTTCTCATGTATGCCACTCTGATATGCATGTTTCTTTATTTGTCGTATATTGGTCTTGAAGGCGGAAGTGAATTATTTGGGGCAGTTTTATCATCCTCACCTTGTGAAACTCATTGGCTATTGTTTGGAGGATGAGCACCGGCTTCTGGTGTATGAATTCATGCCTAGGGGCAGCTTGGAAAATCATTTGTTCAGGAGTGAGTTCTTTGGAATTCTAAACCATTTTTTTTTTCTATATGAAAATTTTTGTAATGAGACATCAAATTGTTGTATAACAGGAGGTTCTTACTTCCAACCTCTTTCTTGGAACCTTCGTTTAAGGGTTGCAATTGGTGCTGCAAAGGGGCTTGCTTTTCTTCACAGTGCTGAAACAAAAGTCATATATCGGGATTTCAAAACTTCTAATATATTGCTTGATTCAGTATGTATCTGTGGAGCAAACTTTTGCTACCATGCATTTTTCCAATTCCAGAAAGCTTATTTATCATCGCGCACTGTTCTGATACAACTTTTTATCATATATTGTCAGAATTACAATGCAAAGCTCTCTGATTTTGGGTTGGCCAAGGATGGGCCGACAGGTGACAAGAGCCATGTCTCCACAAGGGTCATGGGAACCTATGGATATGCAGCTCCAGAATATCTAGCAACTGGTATGATTCTCAATACATGTGGCTTTTTTTATTATTATTTAAAGATCTCCATATATGGTGTTTCCGACTCATGTTTCTCTTTTCTTATGACCCGCCTTGCTTACCCTCTGAAAATCTTTCATTTTTTGAATCCAAAAGGGACACTGATATGGACCATTTATCAGTTCATATCAGAATACCCTCCTTATTACAGTACACCCTCCAACATATTTGGCGATTTAAGTTTGTAAGCTAGCCATCAACCTAATTCAACCGGTCTTTTCTGTGGAAATAGTAAATCAAACATATTTTCAGACAAAGCAGATCAAAAGACAGAGTTGTAGATTCATGGAACATGAGAAGAGCCTTTACTTTCTATTATAAGAGTAAAGCACCAGCACACTACAACTAAACTAGTTTTCTTCCATGTTACTTGCAAGAAGATTTTCTTATTTTGTGCATGTGAGATTATAGGGTAAAGGTCCACCAGTTCCTGACTTTGTGCCCTATGCACACATGCCCAAAATGGCCCTAAAAAGATGAAGTTAGGGCAGAGTAAAGTGAGAGTAGTGGATCAATGCCACTTCTCTCTTCGACTGTGTTTTTGGACCTCGATGTTTTTGCTTGGGGACTGAACTTGATAGGGAGTGATGCCTTTGGCAAAACACTGTTGACTTAACTGACATAATTTCTCTAATTAGCTTCTCCGATTCCACTTTAAAAGACCATTCATTTCAAACCTTCTATCTGCTATAAATGTCCATTCATGGTTTCCATGTATTTGTTGTATATTTTTCTTTTGTTAGGTATTCATTCAACTTTTTTCACCTATTCTAGGTCATTTGACTGCCAGGAGTGATGTTTATAGTTTCGGAGTTGTGCTCCTTGAAATGTTATCTGGCCGAAGAGCTGTGGACAAGAACAGACCATCCGGTGAACACAACCTGGTGGAATGGGCCAAACCCTACCTGGCCAGCAAACGTAAAATCTTTCGCATCCTCGACAACCGTCTCGAAGGCCAGTACTCGTTGGATATAGCCTATAAGGCAGCGAACCTCGCATTGCGATGCCTGTCAACAGAATCCAAATTCAGGCCAAACATGGATGAGGTGGTGAAAGAATTGGAACAACTTCGTGATTTGAAGGAAACAGGAAATGCTCGCAGCGATCCAAGCAGTGCACGAAGGCCTCGGAGACGAAGCGCAGGAGATGCTAGCAATGCAAACATTGCAGCTGCTTATCCCAGGCCATCTGCTTCCCCACTCTTTACAAAATGAATCAAATGAACCCTTGACAAAAGCTGATTTTCATTTCATTGAAAGGTCGATGATGCAAATGGTTTGGCAGTGATTTGGGGACTCGATATTTACACGTATATGTTCAATGACTGTACAGTTGTTTTTGGTTAATGTATTTGAAATCATACGTTCTGTTGACTAGGTCTCTAGGTGAGCTTGTAACACGTGAGGAATTACCCGTTTGGCTTCTGTCTCCTTGGACTACCGTAGTGTTGGTAAAGAGAGTAGGGATGCAAGTACTCTTGCATAATTGAAGTTAGCTCTTCTTCCTCCTAGAATTTCCTCCCCGCAACCAAAGTCTCTGAAGTAAGTGAGTTTGTCTGTTTTCTTTCACTTGTATCTATTTGTTTGTAATATGGCACATATGCTCTCTCGCTCTCTTAATTTTGAAAAAGGGAAAGTAATTTGTTTGATCGTTTTATATCTGAATTTTTGGGGGCTGATTAACGTCTTATGGGTATCACAAGTGGAACAATGGAAAGAGAAAATGGGAAAGAAAAGATAAATAGTAGTGGGGAGGAAATTATTCTTGCCTTTGATATGCTTTTAACATCAAACTTTCATGGGGGAGAATCCTTCTGCCCGTAAAAGTAATTGAGCTTGAGGAGAATATCTTCTGTTTAAACTTGAGCAATTTGTGAAAAGGATGGTATGTCCATTTTAACTAGGAAATGATGGTAATAAGATTTAAATTGAAATTTCTCAATACCCTTCTGAACTGTAAGAATTTTCTTATAGGCATTAGTGGAAAGAATAACCAAGAGTGACTTGTCCATTTTGGACTAGGAAATGAGGACTAATAAGATGAAATTGAAATTTCTCAATAGCTTTCTTAACTGCAAGAATTTTCTTACAAACTTTTGTGCAATGAATGAAACGTCCATTTAGGCTAGGACATGATAACCAATAAGATGAAATTGAAATTTCTTAATACCCTTCTGAATTGCAAAAAAATTGTTATAAGCATTTATGAAAAGAATGATATGTCCATTTCAATTAGGAAACGAATTGCAAAAATTTTCTTATAAGCATTTATGAAAAGTATGATATGTCCATTTCAATTAGGAAATGATGACTAATATGACAAAATTGAAATTTCTCAATGCCCATTTTAGTTATAAAAATTTTGTTTCAAGTGAAATGATAATACAATTTTGCATTCTTGAAAGCACTATTATTGTATCTACAAAGACTCACTAATAAGATGAAATTGAAATTTCTCAATAGCTTTGTTAACTGCAAGAATTTTCTTACAAACTTTTGTGCAATGAATGAAACGTCCATTTAGGCTAGGACATGATAACCAATAAGATGAAATTGAAATTTCTTAAAACCCTTCTGAATTGCAAAAAAATTCTTATAAGCATTTATGAAAAGAATGATATGTCCATTTCAATTAGGAAATGATGACTAATATGACGAAATTGAAATTTCTCAATGCCCATTTTAGTTATAAAAATTTTGTTTCAAGTGAAATGATAATACAATTTTGTATTCTTGAAAGCACTATTATTGTATCTACAAAGACTCATATGTTTGTATAATCTAGTGTTGAACCAAAAAATGTCCAAAGCCATCCACAATTGTTGAAGGAGGCCATGAGAGATGTCAAAAAACAATAATAATAATAATAATTTCTCGATCAACTTGTAAGGACAAAGAAGGTGGGAGGGAGGCATGTGGATATATAACTCTATTCCCTTTGAATTGCATTTGCTATGTTTGAGGTCCCTCCAAATGCTTAGTTGGGTCCGCAGCACTGTTCCCATATGCTTTGCCCACCTTGGAAGACTTTTTGTCCAAACAATTCTGGCCCCCCATTATATAGGAATTGTCTCTTTTGAATTTAGCAAAACACCCACCTTCTGCTTAGTGATGTGTTTGTCATCCTCTCAACTGAGTTTTGTTTTAGCTGCTTGGCTGTAAAGATTAAATTTTGTCCTTCCTCACCACATATTTCAACACAAATTTAATTATTCCATTAAAATGCTCTTAAAGATGGGTTGGCAGTGCTAACTAGGAACAATGGGGTATGTAAACAATTATTTTACTTATACATAAACTATAAATTATAGAAGCAAACATAACCTTATAATATGGGTGTGGACTTGCATCAAGTAAGCAAGAGAATTGTGTTTGATTTTGTAATTATGTATTTTGAAATATTTTCGTATTATTAGAGAACCGAGAGGGTTGTCTTTTAACTAAAGCTCTAAGTCTTTTGTTTTTGTCCTATTACCAAAGCTCGTGAAAAACCATAGATGCAGACTCCATTGTCAATCCCTTATCATCAGACCTTCAATTACTTTTTTGCACAATCGTCAAATATTCAATTTAAAATAATAAGAAAATTATATTTTAGTGTAGGTTTTTTTAAATAATTTTAGATCGGTGATAGATTTTATAAATATTAATAATTAAAGTTGTCAAATTTTTCATGAATTTGTAATTATTTTATGAAAACACCGCTAAATTGTAATTTTCTTTAAAATAAACTGTGTAACAAGAAAAAACCACTTAAATCAGTCTAGTGACATAGGACCTCATGTAATTTTCTCTGATTTAGGAGTATTTGGCATATAGTTAAAAAAGTTATATATAAATATATATATATTTTAAATTATCTTTAATGATCTTTTTTCAAAATTATATCAATTTTATACTTTTTCAATTCATATTGTGTAGATCAATCTAAAAATTTTTTTTTAAAAATATTGAAAAAATTCAACAACATAAAAAAAGTCCACATATTTAAATATTAAAATATTTAAAATCTTAACAAAATTAAAATGTTTTTAAAATATTTAAATATTTAAAATATTTAAAAAATTAAAATATTGATTTGAATTGAGTTTTGGAAAGAGTTTTGAATTATTGTTTGGTTATGTTAAAAACATCACAAAAAAAAAAAAAACGAACAAGAAAAATCACATGTCAGTGGGGTTCAAAATATGAATTACAAATACATAAAAAAGTATATAATTTTATATTTTAATATTTATAAAATTTATCATTAATTTAAATTTTTTTAAAATGTACACTAAAGTGTAATTTTCCTAAAAAAATCCCAAACACCACCCATCATGTTGTCTTCTTGCTAATACATACTCAATGAGAGAGAGAGAGAGTGGTGTTGAACAATTAGACATATTAAAACCAGAGAAAGAGAGAGAGAGAGAGAGAGAGAGAGGTGTTGAACAATTAGACATATTAAAACCACGTGCCCACAGGCATGGAAACCCATTTCTGGTTCAGTCAAGGTTTGCATGGTCTGTACGGCAATTTGATGCGCCAGTTTCAAGTTCGGATATCTCGTTGCAGTTCGCTGTTAATAATGTTGCGTGTTTTTTTAATATTATATTATTTTACTTATCATTTAACATGGTAGTAAAATAATCATTTATCAATGAATTGGAATTAATTTGATCGAATCCGAAAATTCAACTCTGTTTTAAAAAAATCCGATCCAATAATTCGAATCTATTTAATCTGATTATTAAATGAATTGAATATGTAAAAAAATGATTCAATCCAATTCAGTTATCAATTCTATAATTATTTTTTTCAATAAAGTAAAAGTTAAAATTTTATTCATTTTCTATTCTCACCTTTTAGCTTCATAAATTTATTTATAAATCCAATATCCAAACTATGCGTAAGGGCCTATTTGATTAGAAGAAAAAAAAATGATATTGGAAAGTGAAATGAAAAGAGTTAAAAGAAAAAAATATGTGAATTTTTTGCATGCATTTGATTTAATTTAAAAGATGTAGATCTACTTTTTCAGGATTGTTATAATATTAGCTCTCCAAATTTTTAGCTATGTGTATTTTTTTTTTTTTCCCTTTTCCACATAGGAATTTTTAAGACTTTTTTAGCATTCTCCATGATAGTTTAACAATTTTTAAGACTTTTTTTTGACATTCTCCATGATAGTTTTGGTCAATTTTATAAATTCATATTTCCATGCAATATTCTCCTCTCCTTTTTATTTTTTATTTTATACCATCTTTTGACAAACCAAGAAGTAAAAAAGGTGAAATTCTTAAAATCTTGCACTTTCTTTTTTTGGTTTTATAATTTTTTCTTTTTTTAATTTAGATTTTCAGTCATTTAATAATGAAGAAATCTACAATGGGAAGCTTTTAAAATAGTGTACATCATAAAAAAAGTTATGATTTTTTATAATGAATGTTTTGATTGTTTATGATATTTGTTATTACATTTTGTAGTAAAATTTTGAATAGCAAATTTATAATGTGTACCCTAAAATTAGGGATGATAATATTATGGCATTTTTATAATTTTTGTAATGACAATTTGGGATTTGTCATAACATTTTTCAGTAAAAAGAAAAATGTTATGCCTTTGGTAATAAAATAGTTAAAATATTTATGTTTAAGTTATGAAATTTTATAAAAGACATATCATATATATCGTTTTGTTGGTGCAGATTATAACATCTCATTTTATTTATTATTTGAAAACTCCAAGACTTCATGAAAGGTTCAAAGTACATCCACGTACACCACAATTAGGGTGTAAATTTGGCCCGACTCGGGGCCAACCCATGTTGGGTCGCGCGGGCCCTTACCAAAATTCGGGTCAGGTCAGGTTAGGTCGACTCACGGGTCAAAAAATTAGGCCCATGAGGTATTTGGGCCTTCGGCGATCCTCGAACTAGGCCAGCAGGCCTAGGACTTGGCTCAGACTTGGCCGGGCCTGGGCAAGCCTAAACATATTTTTTTATTTTTTTCTACTAAAAATGAAACTGGGCCTCTAGTGTGAGCCTTGAGCGAGCCGATGAGCAACTCACGAGTTGGGCCAGGCAGGCCAAATCGGGCTTCAAAGTGATGGCCTGACCCAGCCTAGGCCTAGGGTCTTGGGCTGGACTCGGCCCTGGGCCCACCCCGGGTCGCGAGCCATTTTTACACCCCTAACCACAACCACAAGTGATTTTGAATTAATAAAAGTTTGACTTCTTTCATATTAATATTTCAATACAAGTGAATTTGAGAGGCTTGTGAAATTTATCATAGATATCATTTTGATAATTTAAACCATTTAATATAAATCATCCCTAAAAAATGAAACTGATTCGATAATCGTAATATTTTCATTTTATCGTGTTTGTTTCTAAAAAAATAAACTATTTATTTTTAAAAATGTATTTGTTATCTTTTTTTTTTTAAGACAAATGTGATAAAATGAAAAAGTTACAATTATTAATCAAACTAATTTTTTTTATGGATAATATACATAAAAAATGTATTAAACAAATATATAAGAATATACGAAAAGTGCATTAAAATTCTAATTTTGGCATTATTCTCATCTTAAATTCCATTTTGTATTTGATTGCTAAAAAAAAAATGAGTTAAAAAAATATAATAAATTCAAAAAGGAACTTAATTTGAGATC